TATGTGTGTGTGTGTGTGTGTGTGTGTGTGTGTGTGTGTATAACAATTACCACTAATACATTTACACATAGCGACCAAATTGCCAGGCAATGGTGGTCCTCAGTACGGAAATGATGGGCGGAAAAGCGAAGCAAGTAGAAGGCATTAAATCTGTCTGCGGCGTTCGATTTGCATTGGGAAAATTGCGTTTTCAAGTCGCCGGCGACAAGGAAGCGGCTGCAAATGTTTGCGGATGCCTTCGTAAGGTTTGCAAAAGAATTTCGTTTCCCGACTTACTTAGTACTGATGATGGGGTATTGAGCAAACTGGAGAAAAAAGATTGTATTTGCCTTAATCATAAAAAAGTATTGGCAACGTTGTGAATACATTCTCTTTGGTCTTGGTTATTGAATTAAAACAAATTTTAAACAGAAGAACAACTTTTAAATTGTCACTTATATTTTAAAATTCATAACAAAATTTTAAGTTTAGTAAATTATGTAAATTTTACAAGTGGAATAGAGTAAACAGTGTTAAATCTAAAAAAAATGTTCTGTCCTTGCGAGGAATGCGGCGATTTTACAGTACCACCATTGATGTCTTGTAATCGGGATAAAGATTATTGTTCAGCAGAACCTTATTGCACCCCTTGCATACCGCAATGTGTGAAAGTGCCGGTCGTGTACTGCTGCGAGAGGCCGAAGCCGAAATCACCACCCAAGGGTGAACGCGAGGATTGTGTGCCATTAGCTCACCACTCATCTCGTGATACACGGCATAGTAACAAATGCGATTGTTCTCGATGTCGGTACTGTAGTCCGCCATGCTGCGCATCACAACCTTCCTGTTGCAAAAGTCATTCACCCCAACGTAATTGTAGTCATCACGAGTGTAGTCCGTGCTGCGATGCATACTGCCATACTCCTTGCAAACCTGTTAGAACGAAATATGTTATACCTTGCTACAGATATGACGATGGTCGCATAGTAAGTTATTTTACCTACCCTAAAATGTTGTAGATGTAAATAGTACGTAAAGGTTTCTTTAATACGCAATTCAGTAGATCTGACTGTGGAACCCTAAAAAACAACACGACGTAAAGAAATCGTTTTATTCTCACCTAATCGAAATTGCATAAGGCCAAAGGCTGGACGCCACGTAGTGACAAGAAAAAAATTGGGGTTTTTTTATTCAATTTTAAGTTACTTCATTTTGAGTAGATTAGATTATATATAATCACTTAGTTTTTATAGTTTTCCTCTGCGGTCTATAGTTTTTGAGAATAATTTTGTTTTTGGCATAATCAATTCAGTGCAGAGTTAGGTTAGAAAATCTGTTCGAGTCAAGTTACGGTATGAACCACTCGTATGAGCTGAGCGAGTGAAGTGAGCGGCCGGCGAGTGTCATAATCCAATTGAGGGCATTTCTGAACATGTTTTAGACTACAAGATCGAACATTTCCAAAAGTCAGTCGAAGGAAATTTCTTGTATAACTTTAATAATTATCGGCTGTAGAGGAAAATGATAACAATGAAAAGAATATTGTAGTGTATATTTAGTTTGGAACTAGTATTAACAACTATTTACAATAAAATATTTTTTAAATTAAAAAAATTCTGTCCTGTTTTCATAGTGAACTTGGGCACCGTCTGATATGATTTCAAATGGTAAAGATGGGGTTGTTGCTTGATTCCATAAAACGAGAACTAAAATCAGTAATAGAGAATTATTCCAAACTTTGAATAAAAGAGTAAAATTTATGTACCTACTGGTTACTTTCTCGCATTAGTGATGAAAATATAAGGTGTACAAACATGGGTGTAGGTGAAATATCAGTTATACTCTCGAACTATTATCAAGTTATACTATATGTATGTGGTCAAGTTTAAAAGAATAGAAGTATTTCGTTTGTTTTTTCATGCAAATTGAAATATTGTGCTATATATATTGGCTGGTTTTGTCATTTCGAACCTTTCCTGAAACCAACAAATCTGATGCCAAGTCATCACATAATTGTAGTATTGATTGTTAGTTTCAGGAACGGTATGTTCCAACACGTCACGGCACTCTGCCGATGTCTGCGTACAAGAGAAATGGAATACAAGATCACGTGTATGGGTACAGGGGGGCACAGAAGTACCTGTGTGCGGGCCAGTGCTGTGATGGGGTGTGTTGTGTGCACATGATCGTTGAGCCCATACGCAAATTTTATCGCAAAATATCACATGAAACATTTCCTGCTAAGAAAAAAAAAGATAGAAAATCCGGTGTTTGTTAAAATAAAGTTACTACGTGAAAAAAGGACAAAATGTAAGGAGTGCTGCTATCGTTTGTTTTATTTTTCTTTTATTTACAGCATCTGTTGATAAATAATACATATTGTAATAGTTAGGTATAGTTGGTTCATATTTTAGTTCCATCGAGAGTTAAAATTTTGTCTATGAAACCAGAAACACTTGACAGGTAAATGCTTTGCCGTCCTCTGCATTAAAGCGGAATGGACTTCAAGATCAGAAATTTCTAGAAGCCGGCGGCATCTCATATATTCGGAAATGCTGGCACACACCATTCTGGTCCGACAGACCTATTTGTATCCCTATTGAGAAACCGAAGACGCTTCCTGTCAAAATACCGAAGAAGTATTGATAGAAATCGGTGCGTAAATTACTTTCACCTACAAAGCGCGTAAATATCCGAAGAAAGGGTCGCACACAGGGGGTAGTCCTGGCCTGACAGTAATCCGTTTAGGAAACAGATTTGCATAAAATTTTGTCGTTGCATTAATTTGACAAAATTGTTGGTTCCCATTTAGATATTTATTGCCATTGATGCCTTAGGCAATCACGTATCGATTTGCGGTAAACGGTAACTGTCTGGTCGATTACAGGTGAAGCAGCTTCCCGTGTCTGCCTTCAAGCGCAACGGCATGCAGGACCAAGAATTTTCGAAGCAGCTGGGCACTATGAATTGCCTCCAGCGGTGTCCTCGAGACGTTTCAGTCGAATACGACGTTTGCACGTCCCCAGTAAAAGTGTGCGACCCAGTGAAAGTCCCAAAATACAAACCTCTCGGCAACTATATGTTGCGAAAGAAACCAATAGAAGTGAATATTGAAGACATTTTAGATGAATGATAACGCTGCGAAGAAAAATCTTTCAAATCTTTGCCTTTTGAAAAGTACTCACTAAAAAACACCTTAATAAGTCAATGTAAGCGTTTTATTTACTGGTTGAAGGAAATTTGGTTATTGCACATTTTGATATGGTATAAATGTCTTCATTTTAAGGAAGTTTTGTTATTATCGATGAAGGATAGTTCACATTATTTGTTAATGCGAGAGATACCAGTATTATTACACTTGTATGTATTTTGTTACAGGCTAATCAGCCGACAGTCTTAGCGCGGCGAGCGTGTGAGGTGGCGGTAGGCGCTCGCTGTCGGCGAAAACCTTACGTCCACTCGACATACTCTGCAGATTGCGACCAAGAAGTGCATAAATATTGTTGTGAAGATGAACAGGTATAGGAGGTATAAATTTACATATTTTTAAGCTGGAAAAGGCAAAAAATTCCATGCATATTTTATGAAAAATTCATTTCATGACACGGCGTCACCTGAATTGATTCTCACGCAATATCCTTTCGAAAGTCAGAGCAAAAAGCCGAATAAAGGCCCCGCTGGTGGCACCACGGGGAGTGAAATTCAATATTATTACTGTCCAAGCTTTCGTAGAAAAATTATTTCCTCTTTAAATCCATCAAACCCGAATATAACTTAAAAGTGATATTAAAGGTCTGACTATCAAGACTTTAATTTGATTAACATTTCCACACTAAGAATGTGGGCATAATAATAATTGTTCGAAGGAATAGATGCTTTCGCATAAATTTCATCTGTCTATCAAGTGTTATTTAATTGATGCTATATTTAATATATGAATATATTTACATAAGTTACTAAACTTTTGAACGCAGGTGTCATTGGACGAGGTTGTGCGTTGAATTAGTTTTTTTTAAATAGAATTGCTGTGAGATTTAGAAGCAAATTACGCAACAGTAGATATTTTTGACATCGATCGTGTCGCCTCTGGATGCAATGTTTATTCGTAAACGTGGCGAGGGTTCGGATAGGGATTTATTTCCGACTGAGGCTTAAGACACCGCTTCTCGTGATTGGCCCTATAATCCGACGGTTCTCTGGATTGTTTTTCCATATGTGCTACTACACACCCCGCGTTAATCTCATCACAGCTTTATTGTCTGGACACAATTTATAAACATACAAGAAAATTTAGTTTGATTCGCCTAAAACACCCGTACGTTTTAATCAGTTAACGGACATTCCGATAATTTTTTTTTACATAACAGAAAAATTTCCAAATCCCTTCCGAAATAAATATGAGGATAAGTAGATCGGATAACGCAATTTAAACTTTTCGGCCTCTCTCTCTCTAAGCTCAGTAATTAACAGAAAGCGTAGTATTACTCGAAATACAAAAAGTTTTTGGAAAGGAATTTCACCTGAAGATTTGTACTTTTTTACCTGCGAAGTTAATTAATTTATGAGATCCAAGTTGAAAAACTCTTCTGCTTATGGAAATAGGGGTCCTGTCACTGTATGGTATAATTTAATATGAAATTACTATCCCATACTAGCTAGAATGACTCAACCAAAGCAATCAGTATTAAACTGTGAAAATAAATGTACCCAATATTTTATTTTTCATTCGTCAGGGCAATTGCTGCTTCCACTTCGAGAAAAATAGCAAAAGCCACCATGGATATTTTGATGATGCACTCATCACAGATGACGTTCCAGAGACGGAAATGTGTTATTCACCCGCGAAACATAATCTTTTTTACTGCGCTGCATAATGTGTATCTTTCTAAATTGGGTGTGAATGTTCTCATGTCTGAACAAATGGCGGCTATGTTGTTCATAAAGATTTGTATTAAGTGTCAACTGGTTTGTTTTAATAGTTTGATACACAAATTCTTATTCAACCAATTAGTAGATGTCGCTACTAATTACTTGTTAATTTCCCTGTACCAATGATCTTATATACATAAAAAAGGCAGATGTGTTACTAGCATCCGCGTCGTGAAGATTCTGAATAAGACTACTGTACGACGACTTGCAATCAGTCTGTGTCGAAGAAAGAGATGAATTTGACATTTGTAAAATTGTGTCAATTTCATTGACTTACAATTATATGGACGTCGGGTCCGCACTAAAAAGTGTCCGCACTTGTAAGGCGCTAAAATCGTATACAGAGCGCGACACTCCGCTTTAGTCTTCATTTGTTCTACGGACAGCGCGATACTGCGATGACATAACAATTTAAATTTCGAATAGGTTGACTTGGGACATTTTTTTCGTGGTTTTTGTATTAGACCCGTCGTCCATTTATTTGTAAGTCAATGGTCAATTTATTCAAATTTCAAGAAAAGTGCCGATGTGTGTATTTAGAACATCGAGTAACCAGAAATTAGAAAATACATTACTTACGACCTGAAAGTAAATAAAACACAAGGAATCACATGCCACGCGTAAGTTAGTTAAAATATTTACATTGTTGCCATATTTTATTTATTTTTCTGTTTTAATAAATAACAGTTGCTAATTGAAGATAGAGATGGTAAATTATTCAGTAGCGAGTGAGATAAGGACGCATGAACTCCGATCACATTTAAGTGCAGCATACGAATGTTGTAGGCAGCAGAGTCACAGTTTGGTAGATGACTGACTGTATTATAATCGAAAACTTATTTATACATATTCGTAAATTACGTCTTTGTGGTATCTTACAATATACATTAGTTCTTGCCTGTATATTAAAGGAAAATACAGAATTTAAAAAAAACCATATATTTTCTTAATATGTTTGCAAATTTAGAAACCAAAAACATCTAGTGGTCTTAAATTATTATTAAATCGATCTTTCGATCGATGGGATCGAAATCATCGCCGTCAATCGATACTCGTTTGTTAGAAGACCAATTAATGAAATTTAACAATTCGTTAAATTTAAATGATAGGGCCGTTGTGGTGGTCTATGGGGGAGGTTTTGGCTGAAGTGATGATGATGATGAAAAGACAGGAACAAATATTTTATTGCTATTGATTGATTGATGATTCTATTTCACTTATTTTATTTTTAATAAAAAATAATTTGTTCTCCTTTGTGTTAACTTTTAACAATTTTTCGGAATGCTATAATTATCACCTACGTGATGCCCCGGCAATGCAAATGACGTACGATTTAAAAAAAAGCTTATATAGGTTGCTGAATAGATTTCAAACGTAGATTACTATGAATGTAAGATATTTTGGGTACAAGATATTGCCCTTTATTAACTATAAAATCGCGCTATTGGTTGGACCATGTCATTATTTTATACAGGGAGTCCTACTAACTAAAAATTTAAAAAAAAGAACAGGGTTGCTTTGTTAATCTCTGCTTTGCTATCTATTTCTTCCTCGGCATGGGAAAAGTTTATTGCAGATACAATGTACCTGCTGTTTTCATGTAAGAATACAGCACGTACGTTAAATGTGCAATGTATTCATGCGATTCTCGGGACTGCACCAGCGATCAAACACGAGTTGTTTACATGAGTGAACTTGTACAAGTACATTGCTTCGTGAATTTGTTCAACAAGTTCAACGTAGTTACATCAATTATTAAGGAAAGTACATCTATTACGTTTACTACTGGGCTTACCGGCCAAATTTGAGGCTAGCTTTCCACCAGAGATGTGCGACCACCAATCGGATTACTTCATTTCCTCCTCGCTTAGCGAAGCTCTGGTAGAAAAGGGTTAGCGGAGCTAAGTATTTGTACCTACATACAAAATAGCGAGAGATGTGTACGAAGAATGTGTGCGAGGGATGCGAGCGAGGAAATTGTGCAAAACGGTGTAGGAACATCGAGCTACTGAAAGTATGAACTAACTCAACTCACTAAGGCTCAACTCACTGGCGCATAGCCGAAGAGTCGCGTCGCGATCTGTTTTTCAGCTACAACGCCTAGCGACTCCATATTTGCATAACACAAGTTTATACCTTAATTATGGGAAAATAGAGATGAATATGCTGTAGGCGTAATACATGACGCGTCGCGTCGCTTCGACTCTGCGCCAGTGTGCGTTAACCGTAACTGACACTCTGATATGTCGCCACCGCTCACCCCACCACACCGTACCCCGCGCGTTCGTAGCTAAAAAGAGTCAGTAACGCGTCCTCGCACCGCGCCGCTACACATCCGCTCACCGCCTCGCTACCTCGCACATCTCTGGTGGAAAGGCAGCCTTATAGAACTACAGTTGGCTTAATACTTACAACTTAAACACATCAGCACCTTGCTAATACGAAAACAAATTTATACATATAAGTGGTAAAATTAAAATGACGATGCAAAAATATTTTTACCATACAAGTAATTCAATTTCAATTTTCCAATTAACCACTCGTCTATATTTTGTGAGCCTATTAGGTATGTTGTACTTTTTGAAACAATCTAGACACAGTTATATCACCCTACATTTAGATAACAAAAGGCGAACACACTGACAAAGTGTAATATTTCACGAATCATTGAGCTGTTTTCGATCAACCTTAACTTAATCTGAAAGACGTACAAACTTTTCTTGTATTTGATCCAATGTTTATGTTCAGGCAGTCCTATGATTTCCAACCATTTTTTTTGTTTCTTTTTTCATTTGTAGGTAAACTTTAAAAATAATAATGAAATATTGGAAATGAAACTATTTTTCCGGATTTAAATCGCGTATATTTGTTTTTTCAAACAAACCGACGTTTTGGGCCCTTTACAGATCCCATGGTCACGGTTGACTGAGGTGGTACAGTCTTCAACCAGTTATGTCTAATATTGATGCAAACCACCTTATTTTTTCACTATAGTTTGAGGCCATGAGAACCATAGTGGCCTAACTCATTTTTTTACAATATTGAGTTTATGATTTTTTCCAGTTCAAATTCATCATTTTGATAGAACCAGAAAGGCCTAAAAGTGATACAACGAATTTTCACTAGACGGCAGCATAATCATTGTTATGGTTTTTAGTCTGTGATCTAAATTTGAGGTGCCATACTGGCCTAAGTAAGATAGGCCACTATGGCTTGTCTATTGAATTAGGCCAAATACCTTAAATACCTTATTAAATACCTTATTTTTAATTTTACAAAGAAAACATTCCAATTTATGCTACATCAAGTTAAAATTGGAATGTTTTCTTTGTAAAATTAAAAATAGAAATAACACAAAGAACAGCGTAAAAACATTTCAACAACAAGTTACATAATACTATACTGACATGTGTGCGGCTGTGGCGTGTACAAAAGGATCCCATTCAGCTAAAGTCACAACCAAGGCTAAGTTGTGACGCTGGTTTTCAATGGGCCCTAGCCGAGTGAGTGAGAGTGACGGACGGATGCGTCCCGAAACAGAAAATAAAATAAAATAAACTACGTAAATACTTATATCATGAGTGTGTATAGTGTTATAAAATAAAATAAGGTATTTAATTAGAATAGAATAGAATAGAATCGTTTATTTCATGTTATCAATATCACAATATTACAATTGGAAATACAATGTCAAGGGATAACTATGATTGTCAGTAATAAAATAATAATAATAATAATGAGTATAAAATAAAGTAGCATAACTACTGCTTGTCGAATAAATGCCGAATAAAATAAAATTAAAATTGTTTCAAAAGAAACTCATCGACACTGTACAATTCAATATCCAATAAAAGGATTTTTAGTCGGGTACAAAACGTTTCATCGTTTCTAACACTTTTCAGGTCTGTGGGTAGATGTTCGTAGAATCGGGGACCTATTACCCGCGGATTTCTAGTTGCAAGTTCGGTACGGTGGGCAACGGATTTTAGTGTTCCCGCGTTTCGTAACGCTCGGCCTCCGCCCGTACGTCGCTCATAAGTAGCCAAATTTTGACGCGCATAAACTATTATATCATAAATATATTGTGAGTACATGGTCATTATATTGTATTTCTTAAAAAGGTTTCTGCAGGTTTGACCCTTTTTTATGCCTACTATTGTTTTTAGTGCACGTTTTTGAAGAATAAATACCCTAATCGACTCGGTTGAATTACCCCACAGTGTGATGCCATAAGACATCAACGAATGAAAATATGCATAATACATACGTCTGCCTCAATACCATATTGGAGACAAGAGGACGCAGTTTCCTCAGTGCGTATGCAGCACTTCCAAGTTTTTGACATAGAGTTTGTTTATGTGACTACCAGTTCAAATTTGAGTCTAGCGTTAAACCCAAGAATTTACAGGTGTTACATAATGGAACAATGGAGGTGATAATTGGCTTTGTTATAGAATTTCTTCCTGAGAACATCATAAGGTTTGACTTCGATTCGTTAAGAATAAGTCCATTCGCAGAGAACCACTCACACAGCTGCTCATACGTGCAGGCTAATTTTTCTTCCAACTCGTTGTAGGTTTTAGCACACACTATAACGGTTGTATCGTCCGCAAATAGAACCACAAGACCCCATGATATAAAGTATGGCAGATCATTGATGAATGCCAGGAATAGTGTATTACCTAGGGCAGATCCCTGTGGGATGCCAATGGTGACGTCACCAGCCGCTGACCTAGTTATTGTACCGTTTGTACTGACCTGAACCGTTTGCCGTCTGTTTGATAAAAAATACTTTAATAGGTTATGGGCGACTCCGTTGACGCCATACACAGCTAACTTTTGAATTAATAAATCATTTTCAATTACATCGAACGTCTTTGTTAGGTCACAAAAAATGCCTGCAGTTTTATACTTATTATCTATACTGGTAATAATAGAATC